TAAATCATAGCAGAGTCGATGTTGAGATCGCTAGAAACGATTATTACTCGTTACTGCACTGTATTACATACGCAAAAAAGATTCTATCTATGCAAGTTCCGAGATTACAATTGTAACTAGTACTACAGACACAGAATTCCCAGATTTCTCATGAGAACATTATTAAAAGTCTGTATTACAGCTTAATTTTTTACTGTTCATTATTATTATTTTTCGTTCAAAGTAAAAAAAAAAAATACAGTAATTGTGTTCTAACTACAGTATATGTTAAATTTTTTTTAATCAATAGTTTAAACGGTTATACCATATAGAGTACCAGGACCAGTGTTCAAAATCAGCGTGTACAGCATTAATATTAATTTGTGAACATAAATTTTCTACAAAAGAACAGTAAAATAATATTAGTGTTCTCATAAGTTAGTGATATAGGCGGTAATATGAGTAAATTTGGCCTGCTTTAAAGATAAAAAATAGATAATTCCGAAACATTCCGATTATAATTAGTAAAAATTATTTTGAGAATATAAACTAATACTTGAAAACACCTAATGGTAGTATATTGTTCATGAGAACAGTAATTAAAGCCGAGATTTCGAACATTGATCATGCATATAATCTTAATTCTTATTCGAATTATTATTGGCTAATACTGTATATATCCGTTCCAATAAGATAATCGTTCCAGTGAAAAATCATCAAAATTATCACTGGAACCACTGGAATACTGGAAAAATCTGGATGTCCAGTTAGGTTCTAGCTTCCAGTCAACAACACTGCCTGCATGAGTGTCATGATTTTCTATCATATGATGTGCGCTGTATAAATATAAACAAATCTTGATAACAACTGGTCTTTCAAAATAAAAAATGCATGAATACTTTAATCGCGCGCTGAGTAAATGGAATATTGTTGGATTTTTAAGTGAATGCAAGTTGACAACTATAAGATCGAAGATAGGACTTTACCTTAAATGTCTAGAGACAATCATTAATACTGAAAAAGGCAAAAGGCACAAGAAAGCGGAGAACCTGATCAAAAAGTATAGGGAGGTAGGAAATTGTTTTTGTTTTTGTAAGAAATTGGTGGTGTAGCGAAGACCTTTCGAGCTCGTCATCATTAAAGTCTTTTAAGCCAGACTACGAAGCTAGAAATGGATCATAGATGACCTTTTAAGCTTGCCTGATGTTTAAGCCTTTTAAGCCGACCCAATTCTAGCCCCACTGGGAAACAGGTGACCTTTTGGATGCCTTTTAAGCCGATCCGGTAGGATGGAACCAGGAATACGTTATTTAAGAATATCACTAATTGTTCAAGTTTTATGTTAGGGTGATAAAGCTGACTACAAACTTGCTAAGGACTGGGAGTTAGAAAAAATGCCGATTAACATTCAGAATACATTTTCGAGCTGTAATCAAACAATTGGTATCGTCAATGATGTTAATGGAACATCTAAAAAAAGAGAACAAAAGGAGGTGCAAACAAGTAATTTTTAACTAAAAGTTGAGAATAAATCAGCCGAACTAATTATTTTATGTTTTAATATTTTTAGAATAATTATGAAGATCAATACAAGAAAAGAAAAATTCAAACAAAAAGCGGAATAATAAATATACTGAATGATCAGAGATATTTTGAAGAAATAATAGATGATGTATCAGATTTGGATATCGATGCTTTTGAAAGTTCCTCTAAAGTAGGGTCTCTTAGTGGTTTACGTAAACCAAATGATGAGTTGGTTGTTCAAGAGAATTTTGAATATAACGAAGAGAAAAGGGATATTCAAGATGATGAGGTAAAGTAATTGTTTAAAAATACTGCTTCATATTCAATAATTAATTGTATTATCGAGACATTATTTAATGCTATTGCTAACTCATTAGCAGACACCTTCAGTAGCTCCAAGTACCATCAAAACAGAAAGGATTGTTGTAAATATGCAAATTCTTATCTATAGTGCACAGTTTCGGGAATATATTTAATAATATTTTATTTATTTTTATAGGAATCAAATAAAAAGACACTCCAAGACTTGCTCGGTATTAAATATTCAGAAAATATGCAATTAATTTGCCAATATCACGATAAGACATACCCAGATGAAATCTTACTTGATTTACGTCCCAACTCAATATTTAGCAAGGAACTTCCCTTAGATATTTTGTCGCCATATCTAAAGAAGCTCGATGATAAAATCGAGAACTTGATTCTATCCCACATACATGAATTCTTGACCCAATTTTTCAAACAAAATTTGACGGGCGAAGATTGGCACACAAAGATTGATGATCTGCAATGTCAAAATTGTAATGATTTGTTAATGGTATCAGTCATACGAATTTTGCGTAGAACATTACCACCATTGTAAGTACAAATTTTTTTCATTCTGCCAATAAGTATGCTTTATTTATATTATTGACTTAAGTTTTTTTTTTAGTATTATAGCATTTTCATTGGGACCAAGAAATCCTCTTTTGAATTTGACGACACTGGAAAAACCGCATTTAAACAACTTTGTACATCCCTGTTTACAAACTTGTTTATGGTATATTTCATCCATAAATTATGAGTTTGAAGAGATAAGAACAGAAAATTATAAAAATCAATGCGCGGACGGAGTTGGCTACTTAAATACTGCTGATAAATACTAATTGGTATATATAGAAAGTTCAAGGCTAAATGCAGATAATGACAAAGAGATTGCTGAGGTAAAACCTAAGTTGGGGGCAAAGGGAAAAGGGAGGGTTTATATAGCTTTTTACAATTAAGAATAAGAATGGTAGAAACAGTAAGAATGGTAAGAACGGTAAGAATAGTAAGAACGGTAAGAACGGTAAGAACAGTAAGAACGGTAACCGTTTCTAAGTTGTTTCTAAGACAACTCTAAAACTATGAGTTCTACAGTTATAAAACATAGCTCATTTGAAAGATCTCTTCGAGCTGGATCTAATGGTAAAGTCTAATTCTAATTTTAGCTAATAAGTTATTAAGAAAAACGCTAATAACTAAATCTAAATATATATAATATATAAAAATATAATATTTAAGAAATATGCTAAAACCTATTTTATAACAGTACTTAAAATAGTTTTTGTTTCTTTAACACCAAGCTAATTATAACTAGGATTTAATTTAGTTAAAGAGATATTTTTGTAAAATGCTTCTGCAAGTATTTTTATATTTTTAATATAGAAATAATTATTAAATATTTTATTAGTATTACTTTTATTCTAGTAGATTTCTAATAATAAATTATAATAGCTATTTTTTTTTTTTTATTGTTATAACAAAACTTTAATACTAGTTAATTTTTATTAGATTATTTGTAGATTTATATTAGTTAGTAAGAGTATAATTTTTTTTTTAAATTCAGCAGCCATGCCTCAACTTTATTCAAACAATTTGCAAAGCAAACTTTTTACATTCGAATTTACATTCTTATGTATCTGACTATTAAGCTGAAACTCACTTAGTTACCCAAATAGTACTTATGTGCAGCATGCTATAATTAGTCTTTTAAATCTATACTATCAGATTTGGTTACCCAAACCCTCCTGTGCTTCAGATAGTCCTAACAACCCAAAAAAAAAAAAAAAAATTGTTATTATCTAAAAGCTCTAAAGCTAACTAACAAAGAAAATCTTGCTCTAAGTTAAAAACTTTGTTAAGTAGTAACATAAAAAAATAGGCTATATAAAAAAAAGAAATGAAGAAAAATAAAGTACCCTTTAACCTAGACTAGGTTCAAAAATATTAAGTCAGCAGACTTATAACCTATCTCAAATTATTCTCACTCTAACATTATAATCTATTCTTATTGCTTTATAATAGTATATCGATAGTATATTAGCATAGAAAAAACTCGTATTTTCATGAAAAATCATGAGTTATAATATTCATATGATTGGCTAATTTATGTAGATCCAAGCATAATTATTGACCAATCAAATTAATTAAAAAATCTTTCAATACATGAAATAAAATACAAAATAAATTTATTATTAATGAAAGTGAAACTTTTTCAATACTAAAGTCATTCTATTCTATTTTTTTAATCACTATATTTCATTAAAAACATGTTGTTATATCTGATATGTTACTACTCTTGGTTTAAACTACCATGATTAGACCACACTATCATATATACTATACTGGAGATCTTAGTTTTCTTTTCTATTTAATAAATAATACATATATATATCTTAGTTCAGGTAAAATAAATCTTGCTAAAAGTTTGATATTACTTGGCCTGTTTAATAAATATATAAAATTTTATATTAATAATACTCATAGTTTAGCAATTTGTAAATCTAATACACATTTGCTTAATAATTTAAACATAGTAGAAACTCAATAAACTCTACTAATACCAAATGTTCTACCTTTATTCTTATAAAAACTTTTTGAGGAAAGTGATTGAAAACGATTAAAAAAGATTTTCTGTTAAAGATACATTTAGTGAATAAATTTTATTAATTGATCAAAGTATATTTAGTATGAAACTTATAGTTAAACAGATTATGAAAATTCTGGTTTTTAGACTACTATCATATATCAAATTTCAATTACCTATATAAATAACTCGTATAACTGTGATTTTAGAATCTATTAGATATGAGTTTCTTCTATACTTAGCATATTCATATCTTCTTATATATCTGTAGAACTAGTTTCAATAAAACAAGCAAAACAAAATACATGTTTCTACGTGTTTGTTTTCCACTAATTAAAAAGGTGAAATTTGACCTCTAATCAAAAGTTGAATTTCAAATTTTTGGTCAAATTCAGGTCGAATTAGCCAAAAAATTTGATCTATAATTAACCTATAATTAATCTAAAAACTACTAATTAGCTTAAAATTAGCATTTAATTTTAGGTTGAATAGTTAATTTTAAAATTCGACCTAAAATCAGACTTCAAATTTAGGCTGAATTTTATACACATTTGATCTAAAATCAACTTATAAATTTTGAGATTAATTTTTGGTTGAATATGTATAAAATTTAGCCTAAATTCAAAATCTGATTTTAGGTTGAATTTTAAAATTAACTATTCAACCTAAAATCAGATACTGATTTTAAGCTGATTAGTAGTTTATAGATTGATTATAGGTTAATTATAGATCAAATTTTTTGGCTGATTCGACCTGAATTCGACTAAAAATTTGAAATTCAATCTTCGATTAGAGGTCGAATTTCACCTTTTCAACTAGTATTCTGTTTTGTTTATTCCTATAGTCATATACTCAATAGAGTATATCTAAAAATGAATATGATAAACAATACTGATCTTTTGTAGGGAAGAACCTAAATTCCTCACTTTTGTTGATATTGGTAAAAGGTCAGTAAGAAAAAGCTTGTAATATATAGTTGTTTTTTAAGACTTTAAAGAGTATATAGACAAAATATTTGGTTGTTTCCCTGCTTCTTAAACCTTCTTTTACTAACTTTGTCAACAAAGAGCTTTGTCCTAAAAGTTCTTTACTAAAATTTTTTATATAAAAGCTCTACTTTCTGCTAGTTATCTTATATAATATTGCTTTTAGCTTGCATACTGAATATACAAAGAAGTTCTTAAAGAGAAGTAGAACCCTAGTTAACCTTTATAAAAACTATTATTATAAAAAGGTCTTCTTTATCATACTCTAACAAAATTTTCATTTTTTGTTTTTTCAGTTTTTTAGGAAAAAGGATCATTAGAAAGAGTTTGATATATTTATTATATATTCTGAGTAAGAGTACAATTAGTCATATATATAACTTTAATTATTATCTATTTAAAGATTCTGTTTAAAGGTTACTTACTAATTGCTATATCTAATATCTATTTGTAGTTATTCTATTTAAACTCTCTAAAATTCTGTTATCTCTAATATTAACTCAATTTATTCTTAAACTTGTATAATCTTATACTGCTTTATTGAGGACTACTCAGACTAGCTTATATCTTAGTTTCTTCTATTAAGAAAGGCTTTATCTCAAAATATTCTATTAGTCCTATTCAGGAAGAGCTTGTAGAATACTTTAATTATACTATGCTAAATTTTATTTAGACTAGCATATACTCTTATAAATATTTGTATAAATCTAGTTTCTGTTATAGCTTTCTACTAGATTTTTTTTTTTTTTTTACTTTATACAAATATCATTAGCTAAACTTTATTAATTTTATAAATTTCAGAAGTGATATATATTGTGAGAATACAACTAGCTACACATACAATTTTAGATTATCTATTTTAAGTAGTCTACCTAAAGGTTCTATACTAGCTACCATACCTAAAATCTCTTAGAAGATTCCTTATTTAAACTCTCTGACTCTATTTTACTTACTGCAAATATTACTCTTATAGTTAACTATAACTCTGTGCTACTCTACTTTAGGAGATACTCAAGCTAACATTAGTCATAAACTTTACTATTATAGATCCTAAATCTTATCTAAATAAGTCACAACTTCAATACTTCCTAACAAATAAGTATTATAATATCTAACTATACTATGCTATATTCCAATCTAGCTTGTATATACCCTTATTTAATGTTTGTACAAACCCAGTTCCAGCCATGACCCTCTACCAGTTTAGATTTTTGTATTCTTCTAAATATTTTATGAGGTAGATTCTTCTAATTTAGTTAGCTACTAAGCCAAGTTGGTATTGCTATAATACCTAATATCATAGATATACTCGTATCTACTCAATCTGCATCTTCATACTCAGAAATCTTTACTAGATCAAATGTTAACTAGCATGACTATTGAAATCTATACTACTTCATCTAACTCAGGATTTCTACTATGCAGATTCTCTGTCTGTAGATCTTATCTCGATTTATTTATATTATACAACTCTAATATTTTGTCATATTTTCAATATCTAAACAACATTAGTGCAATATGATTTATAGAGTTACAACTCTCAAAAATAACTAGAGTTTACTATAAGTTAAATACAGATGTCTAGATAATTATTCAATTCTGTTAATAGTGGGATTTGAACTCTAGACCTCTTGTATAGCAGTCTGATAATCTATTTACTATACTAGATTACTGGACCTATTTCTACTAGATTAGATTTCTGTATTTCTAAATATTTCATAAAACAGATCTTTCTAAATTTAGTTAGCTCTATGCTAATTTGGTATTTGCCTTATTTGTATTTGTTCGATCAATATCTTTTATATACAAACTTCATTTTCAGATCAAGCATTAACTAGTATAACTATTAAAATCTATACTACTTTATTTAATTTAAAATTTTTACTATATAGATCTTCTGTTTATAGATTCTATCAAAATTTATTTATATAATATTATGTCATATTTCTAATATCAAATTAATATTAATGCAATATAATTTATAGGATTATAACTTTCAAAAATGAACAAGATCTATTATAAGTTAGATACAAGAGTTTAGGTAATTATTTAAATTTGTTGATAGTAGAATTTGAACTCTAGACTTCTTATATAGTAATCTGCTAACTTAACTACTACACTAAGATAGCTAAACCTTGCTATTTTTTTTTTAATTTTTTATTTGTTAAGGCTACTTCTTTGGCTTATTAGATTTTATTAATTTGTAATTATAGAGTTAATGTAGTAGTAATCTTCTAAGGTTTTATAGTTATATGATAAGTATACAATAAGC